GTTGGGATATGTCTCTACTAACTTTGCACATCTAGAATTTTGCAATATTTGCCCACTCTTCTTTGCAGAACTGCTCAAGTTCAGTTAAATTTGATGGTGACCATTTGTGGACTGCAGACTTTCCAAGTCATTCCACAGATTTTCAATGGGGTTCAAGTCTGGGCCATGCAAGAACATTCACCTTTTTCTCCTTCAACCACTGTCTGGTCATTTTTGCTCTGTGCTTTGGGTCATCGTCATGTTGGAAGGTAAACTTTCTTCCCATTGACAACTTTCTTGTAGAGGGCAGCAGATTTTCCTTAAGAATTTCTCGGTATTTTGCCCCATCCATTTTCCCTTCCATCCTGACAAGTGCTCCATTTCCTGCTGCAGAAAAACCCCCCAGAACAGGATATTCCCACCTCCATACTTTACTGTAGGAAATATTATATTTGGATGGTGAGCTGGATTGGATTTCCACCAGAGATATTGTTTAGTGTTGAGGCCAAATCATTCAATTTTCGTTTCATCTGACCAGAACACCTTTTTCCATGTGGCCTCAGAATCTTCAAGGTGCGTTTTGGTAAAGCTCAGTGGTGACTGCATGTGGCCTTTCTTGAGGAGTGACTTTTCTTGCAACATTCCCATACAAGCCACATTTGTGGAGAATTTGGGATATTGTCATCAATTCCTGCAACTGCTTCAGAGTTGCTGTAGGTCTCCTGGTAGCCTCTCTGACCAGTTTCCTCCTGGCTCCTTCATGCAGTTTGGAGTGACGTCCTTATCTAAAGAGGGTCTGTGTTGTACCAAATACCTTCCACTTCCTAATAATAGACTTACTGTGCTTCTAGGCATTGATAAAGCCTTTGAATTTTTTTTTTTTTTTTCTGTATGCATCTCCTGACTTGTGCCTCTCCACAACTTTATCCCAGATATCTTTTGACGGTGCCTTGCCACCCATAGTTGATGGTTTGCTTCAGTTACCAGGGAATCTAATCCAAGTTACCACAGCTGATCACAGCTGAAAGTCAAATGGCTTTGTGTGCCATTGAGAAGGTGATTAGCTACACCTGATTGAGTTCACAAGTCCGTTTTAGGAGGGGGGGGGTGATCCTTTTTCCAACTTAGCTAGCTATTCTGCTTTTGAATTTTTACAGTAAATACAGCTGGATAAAACAAAAACTCTCCATCTTCATTTCAGGCTGCAAAGCAACAAAAAATGTGATTATTTTAAAGGGGGTGATACCTTCTATACCCATTGTAGCTGCAAAATAGCCACTTACTAATTATTGGGGGTTTTGTATGAAGTGCATTTTTTAGGCAGTAAAAATACAAACAGTACACTTTTTACTGCATGAAAATGTGCAAAGTGTGAACAACAGGTAAAAAAAAAAAGAAAACACACACACACACACAATAAAAAAATCTTCAGATTAACTGCATGAATGTTTGATATAATCTGCACTGTCTAGGACTGATAGTTACTGTCAGGGTTACTGTCAGGGTAAGTTACTGTCAGGGTAGGCTCCATACATGTAAAAGTTTGCTGACAGATAAAGATTCTTATCCCAACAAGAAAAACCAAACGTCATTGAACTTTTTGCTATAAAAGGGTTTGCAGTGGGAGGATCCCAAGGTATTGCTCCTTTTCTCGTAAGTGAAGTTTTGCAATGCATGCATGTTTACACATCACAGCGAAGCAGGAAATCAGCAAAGACAACTGAAAGTCCCAGCTACCTATTTACTAAACACTCCCATGGCACATGTCCAGAGGATATCTCAGAGTCCTTGACCTGAATACATTTATTGCTGCATGGAGAATGATCGCTGAGGGAGATCACCAACATTCCTAGAGATAGACTCCTTAAAACACATACAATGCTGGCCACACACCAGTAGAATTTGGTTCAGAAATGTTTGTTGCTGCACATTTGTTTCAATTTTTAATGGTCATTGAGGTCAAATTGTTGATCGCTAAGAGACATAATTAGGAGTGGGATAGAAATTTTTTTCAAGCAAGCAATATTGTAACTGGAAAAGCACATATGGTATTGCACACAATGTAGGCACATGAGAAACCAGTTTAAATCCAATCAACTACATAAAAATGGCAACCGTCCCAACCTATAACCAGCCTTAGCAGTAAGGTGCTAAGGGGAGCCCATCCCTCCTTTTTTTGTCTGTAATGTGCATTGCCCTTCCATGTGTACCTTACTGCTAAGGCTGCTTATAGGTTGGGATGGTTGCCATTTTTGTGTAGTTGGCTAATTTGGACGCAGGGATGCACTGGATGCCTTTGCTGTCATTTTGTATAGTTGGGCGTCACGTGCGTCCTGTACCTTTAAGGAGCTATAGGCTCCTCCAGGCAAACCTGCCCTTAACCTATCCATTTATACATGTGGCCCTACTATGGAGGCTCTGAAAATTTTAGTTAGGTCCACGGTATACAGGAGGACCCTTGACGTGGGACTGTGGCTTACGCATGTATTTGCAAACGTGTGCAAACAAAGCCCTCTGTTTTTAACGCATACTGTTAGACACGGCCATATTGGTTGTTTCACAGGCTGGCTGGCAAGTGTTGCTGGGAAATCCTTTTTCTTTGTCAGTTAATTCCAATCAAGTAGTAGATCGGAGTAAAATATTTAGGACTTTCAAACGAAATTGTGTAGGTGCGTGTGTGCGATGTGGCACTGCTAAAAACACCGGTAAGGATTTGGTTTACTCAAAGCAACATTGGGACTGTTGTAACGATCGCTCTTGCTTTGACAAGCAATCAGTTATTGGATTTATTATACGTATATTAATCTTCCTGTGAATGCACTGTATATCTTTTGAAGACATACATTTTTTTTCTGGGTAAACACAGAAAAAACTTGGACTTCTCAGCAGAGGATTTTCATTAGAGAACACCAAGACTCTTGTGGATTAATGTAAGCGTTTTTGGGCGTTTTCCTATTAACACGCCCAAAAACACTGTTTATCTTTAGAAGAGGGATTGTTTCTCTTTCAGGGTGAGCTCAGTTGTCTCTTATTTGCTTGTGGATGGCTAGCAGATAAGGATGAGCTTTGGGTTGGTAGGAAACCTAAGATCCGAGTTCAGCATGTGCTGCTATATGTGACAGTTGCCCTCTCAGGCTGTTGTCAAGCAGCCGCCAGCATGCCAACAACCAGCGAGTCACCACCAGTGTAGTATATTGTGTGTAATTATATATTATATATAAAATGAAGGGGCATGGATGGCAGCTGACATGTTAAACAAAAAAGCATAAAATATAAAAAAAAAAAAAAAAAGATCCTCCTGCGCTCAATGGGATACTTGGTGTCTATTACTCAGCTGCTGTCACTCAACTTAAACCTACAAGTGCATTTAAACAGTGAAAATAAATAGTGAAGCGCTTGAATATCATGATATTAAAAAATAATTTTTACACTCAAAAGTGTTGCTGGATATATACTCTTTGTAAAATGAAATACATGAGAAAAATAATACTAATACACATTAATACCCCCTCTCAGTGGGGAAAGTAAGGTGGTGCAACAAATTATTTACAAAATTAATAAATTATCGCACGCAGTGAAAAAACTATTTAAAGTGCATATACTAAAAATAATCCACAAAATCTAAGTAAATAATAAATGAATTAAACCAGTGCATAAAACCACTCATAATATATTAATTAATCCACTTATATTGGTACCATATACAAAACAAACAATGGATGAATCATAGGTGAAAACAGTCCATGCGTGTGAATCTGTGTTTCAACATCAAACGGGTTTTCCACTTCTAAGTGCAAAAAATTGAATCCTCCGAATGGCAGAAATGCCTGCTCACCTCCCCTCCTTGACCCACACAGGGCCAACTGGCTATTTCCACCTCAGTGGTATATCCCTTCTGGCAAGCTCCTTATCCTCCTTATTGCATTTCCTTTCTTGTATCTCCACTCCAAGACATGTAAATGAATGCAGATCTTTCCATAGTGTAGTAATTGTATTAATTAAAGATGTAATCAGTAAAAAAAATTACACTCACATTGTCCTCCTTCGATAACAAGCCTTTTTACCACATCCTATGGGTAAAGCTGCATGACACTGGGGAATCCAATATGGCCGCGGCGTCCGGACAAGCGTCACCGGAAATGACGAACCGACGCGTTGCGTCACGTGCGTCGTGACTTCATCAGGGTTTAATTAATTTATTATTCACTTAGATTCTGTGGATTATTTTTAGTATATGCACTTTAAATAGTTTTTTCACTGCGTGTGATAATTTATTAATTTTGTAAATAATTTGTTGCACCACCTTACTTTCCCCACTGAGAGGGGGCATTAATGTGTATTAGTATTATTTTTCTCATGTATTTCATTTTACAAAGAGTATATATTCAGCACTTTTGAGTGTAAAAATAATTTTTTAATATCATGATATTCAAGCGCTTCACTATTTATTTTCACTGTTTAAAAAAAAAAAAAAAAAAAAAGCATGTCCCTCCGGAAATTTCATACCGGACCCCTATCCAAGAATGTAGTCTGACTGGCTATGAAAGGTGGGAGGGGAGTTTTGGATACAAGTGCATGCCCTCTTCCTTCTAAACCATAGCCAGCCATATGCTTTCAACATGGGGTTTGGCACCCAAACTTAGGTAGGCAGGTGGTGGAAGCATCTACAACTGTCAGTTATTAGGTACCAAATTAAAAATAAGTAGCCAAGCTCAAGTCTGGTTGTGTCGATCTGGTGTCAACCATCATCTGAGCTGCCCAGACATTCAATTGGGGCAAAGGTTCCTTCCATTCGACCACAAGTGAGAATGGCCAAAGCAGACAAAGGATCATTAGGATATGATGGAAGGGTGTCCAATGTGACAATAATATTGTAATCAAAACTGGATAGGACTAACTACTTATATCATGGGAGCCTTAGGAAGATGGCCATAACATTGGTGGAAGTGTTCAATCCAAAAGTGAGTGATGCAAAAAACACGCTATAGTGAGGTACCTGGGTAAAGAACTAGTCTACTCACCAGTAACAAGCAAGAGGCCAACGCCTGGCAAGTGTTCCTCATTGTGACTTGTAAGAGGCAAATCTTTTACCAGAAATGATCTGTAGATAGAAGACAACAAATGTCAAACGGAAACCAACATTACTGTATCCATGAAAAAAAAAATAATAATGAAAAAGATATTCAAGGGGCCTTAGTTTCACATCTCAAACTTTCTAGAGATAAAAAAGACATCACTCTAAAATTAGGCCCCTTATAATGGCCACTGCTCTCTTTCTTGGTACATGGTAATAGAGCTGATCACCTAAATTTGTCAAAATAAGTCCCTATCTGGATGCAAAAATCTGCTGCTGATTTAAAGGACAGGAAGGGTAGAAGGGGATGTGAAATTCTATTTGCTGTTTGTTTTTTGTTTTCCAAAAGTCCTGCTGGGGCACAGATTTCCCTTCGCTTACCTTCAAACATATTTATAACAACTGAAAATATAGTGGGGGGAATTCACTAAAACTAGAGCAGAATATGGAGCAGCTGTGCACAGTAGCCAATCAGCTTCTAGCTTCAGCTTATTCAGTTAAACTTTGAAAATGAAAGCTAGAAGCTGATTGGCTGTAATGGGCTGCTCTGCTCAGATTCTGATTGCTCAGTCTTAGTAAATACCCTGTTTGAATTGTCAGTTTTGGATTGCGTAACGCAAGATTTAACCACTGCCAGTTTATTTTTTGCTGTCTACATCTTGTTGGGGAGATTTCCTTCAGAGGAAATCCTCTTTTGGAATGGTGACCCTGTTAAAAGATTTTCTCCCCAATCCTGATTTGGTACCATCAATAACATTTAACATTTTGAAATGACAATGGTCACTAGGACAAATAGAGACTGTCCCCAGTGGGGATACAGGCAGCAATAAAAGCCTGACTGAGGTTCTAGTCTAGGGGTTACTGAATTAAAATTCACCGAGGTCTGGCTGATAACATTTTCTTTCTGCAGTGGTCCAAATCTAATTTTTCACGTCCTTCACATTACAGCCCCCTTTACATTAGTGTCCTCAGTCCCCCCCCCCCCTTTCCCATCACAGTCCCCCCTTAAATCACAGCCCCCCTTTACATTAGTGTTCTCAGTCCCCCCTTTCCCATCACAGTCCCCCCTTAAATCAAATCCCCCTTTACATTAGTGTTCTCGTTCCTCCTTTTCCCTTCACATCCACCTTTACATCACAAACTCCTTTCACATCAGAGCCCCCCAGTATTACAGCCCCATTTACATCACAGTCCCCCTTGCAATCCCAACCCCCCTCACGTCACAGCCCCCCCCCCCCCCCCCCACTGACATTACAGCCCTCTTTCAATCACAACTCCCTCCTCACACATCACAGCCCGCCTCTCACATTCAAAAACGAAGGGAAAAAAAAAAAAAAAGGGGGGAGGTTTTCAATTGTAAGGATTGCCATAGATGGCCAGACATTTAATCAACAGGACATTAGATCTGCCCATAGTTCTGAGACCAGAGACTGCCAAATACGACACTGGGATAGAAAAAGAACATTCACTTTATATAGGGAAGACATCCATCCATGTCATATGAACAAGTTATCCAGCATGCTGGAAAATCTACATGGACAATAAGCACCTCTGCAGATCACACAAGCTCCTTATTACTACTAAGAGCATCACTTAATATCTAGGTGTATACGGACGCCCCAATCACAAAATCTGCTCCACACCGCTACAACACACCAACGTTTTCTACATCTACCAAAAACTTTTACTTTAGGATGAAGCATCCACCAGGCTGCAATGCAGCACAGTGGCAGTCTTCTTGAACGAACGCCAGAAGGTTCCTGTCGGACGCGTTCTGTCAAGAGGCACTGAATGACACGCTTTCTTCCCCTACAACACACCATACGGAAGTGACAGATTTATATCAGTAATATTGCTCCAGCGATGACAGCCTCAGTGGGAGGCCTCTGTCGGTACCATACTGCAGTCAGCAGTTTCATTCCACTCATCAGAGGCTCTCGTGGCCCTCTTTACTCATAACAGATCCCGGGATCACAATGCGGACAGCTCACGACTCTGACATCCAGTTGTCTATAAATAAAAGGCTCCTCATGTAATCTAATTAAAATTCCGTTATGAGATACAAACGTAAACCCTGAACAGGTCACAAAAGTATAAAACAAAGTAGGAGACACTGCAACCACCACCTAGATCCCAAAATTCAAAGCAAAAAGGATCAGGAAATTAAAGTGGAAAATTCAATATTATGGGGGGGGGTTAATATAACAGATTTGCATTAAAGTGAATTTTACAGCAGGTTTTCAGAGTTGTTTATGTTTTTTTAATGGCAATAATGAAGGTTTCCTGTAATGCACGAAGAGATCCTGTCTGCTGGAAGCCGCTTATATGTCCGACCTACAGATGCTAAATTAAGAAGTCATCGGTGAGCTAAATATAGAAAAGAACAGCGAGGAAATTCTGCTGTGTGTCACCACCTGAAAGACAGCGAGCTCAGGAATGAGAACCGGCACCGAGTCATCCATACATTGCAGTGGAGGATACTTCCTATTGTACAAGAGGGACAGGATGTGCCATCTATAGTGTCCATACAGCAAGGACAATGCCACCGACTACTGACCAGGGGCAAGAGGGACAGGAAGTGCCATCTATAGTGTCCATACAGCAAGGACAATGCCACCGACTACTGACCAGGGACAAGAGGGACAGGAAGTGCCATCTATAGTGTCCATACAGCAAGGACAATGCCACCGACTACTGACCAGGGGCAGGAGGGACAGGATGTGCCATCTATAGTGTCCATACAGCAAGGAAAATGCCACCGACTACTGACCAGGGACAAGAGGGACAGGATGTGCCATCTATAGTGTCCATAAGGCAAGGACAATGCCACCGACTACTGACCAGGGGCAAGAGGGACAGGATGTGCCATCTATAGTGTCCATACAGCAAGGACAATGCCACCGACTACTGACCAGGGGCAGGGGAGGGACAGGATGTGCCATCTATAGTGTCCATACAGCAAGGACAATACCACCAACTACTGACCAGGGACAAGAGGGACAGGAAGGAAGCCCATCTATAGTGTCCATACAGCAAGGACAGTGCCTACCCAGGGACACTACATGACCAGGGACAAGAGGGACAGGATGTGCCATCTATAGTGTCCATACAGCAAGGACAGTGCCACCGACTACTGACCAGGGACAAGAGGGACATGATGTGCCATCTATAGTAGCCATACAGCAAGGACAATGCCACCGACTACTGACCAGGGACAGGATGTGCCATCTGCCACCGACTACTGACCAGGGGGAGGGACAGGATGTGCCATCTATAGTGTCCATACAGCAAGGACAATGCCACCGACTACTGACCAGGGGCAAGAGGGACAGGATGTGCCATCTATAGTGTCCATACAGCAAGGACAATGCCACCACCGACTACTGACCAGGGGCAAGAGGGACAGGATGTGCCATCTATAGTGTCCATACAGCAAGGACAATGCCTCACCGACTACTGACCAGGGGCAAGAGGGACAGGATGTGCCATCTATAGTGTCCATACAGCAAGGACAATGCCACCGACTACTACTGAGGGGCAAGAGGGACAGGATGTGCCATCTATAGTGTCCATACAGCAAGGACAATGCCACCGACTACTGACCAGGGGCAAGAGGGACAGGATGTGCCATCTATAGTGTCCATACAGCAAGGACAATGCCACCGACTACTGACCAGGGGCAGAAGGGACAGGAAGTGCCATCTATAGTGTCCATACAGCAAGGACAATGCCACCGACTACTGACCAGGGGCAAGATGAATAGGATGTGCCATCTATAGTAGCCATACAGCAAGGACAATGCCACCGACTACTGACCAGGGCAAGAGGGACAGGAAGTGCCATCTATAGTATCCATACAGCAAAGACAATGCCACCGACTACTGACCAGGGGCAAGAGGGATAGGATGTGCCATCTATAGTAGCCATACAGCAAGGACAATGCCACCGACTACTGACCAGGGGCAAGAGGGACAAGATGTGCCATCTATAGTGTCCATACAGCAAGGACAATTCCACTTCCCACTGTACAGGGATAAGAGGGATAACGTGCCATCTATAGTATCCATACAGCAAGGACAATGCCACTTCCTACTGTACGGGGATAAGAGGGATAATGTGCCATTTATAGTATCCATACAGCAAGGACAATTCCACTTCCTACTGTATGGTGATAAGAGGGATATTGTGCCATCTATAGTATCCATACAGCATGGACATTGCCACTTCCTATTGTACGGGGGATAACAGGGATAACGTGCCATCTATAGTATCCATACAGCATGGACATTTCCACTTCCTATTGTACGGGGATAAGAGGGATAACGTGCCATCTATAGTATCCATACAGCTTGGACATTGCCACTTCCTACTGTACGGGGATAAGAGGGATAACGTGCCATCTACGGTATACATTCTACAAGGACAATGCCACTTCCTACTGTATGTGGTTAAGAAGGTCAGGATGTGCATCTATAGTATCCATACAGCAAGGACACTGTTACATCCTACTGTATGGAAGAGAAGATGAGAAGAATATGTGATTTAAAATGATCCAATAAATAAGGAGGTCACCATTTTCTACTATACAAGGTCAAGAGGGACAGGAAATGTCACCTACATTATCTATACAGCAAGGAGACCACTACCTCTGACCACACTGTACAAGGAAAGGAAGATGGGTCATATAACATCCATAGAGCAAGGAGAACACCACCTCTTACTGTAAAAAGGATGAGGGGGGGTAGAATATCTGACTTGCATATGATTCACTCAACAAGGAGACCATCACTTTCTACTATATAGGGAAGACAGGAACAGGGCACGTCTACTAAATCATTCATACTGCAAGGAGACTACTACCACCTACTGTGTAAGGATGAGAGGGACGGGTCACATATCCATACAGCAAGTATCCTGCTAAAATATTACTGTACAAGAGGCAGGTCGTGTCACCTATACGATCAATGCAACAAGGAGGTAATCCCGTTTTACTGTACACGATGAAGGGGTACAGTACACAACCCCTATTTCATCCATATATCAAGAGGACTACTACCTCCTACTGAAAAGCAACTAGAGGGACAAGATATGTGGCCTATATGAACCACTCAACAAGAAGGCCATCATATTCTACTATACAAGGACATAAGGCATAGGATGTGTCACTTATATCAAACAGCAAGGAAACCACTACCTCCAACTGTAAGAAGATGAGAGGGACAGGTCACTTATAACATCCATAGAGAAAGCACACAGCCACCTCCACCTACAGATGAAGAGGGGCAGGAAGTGCAACCTAAATCCTTTCCACAGCAAAGGAGATCATTACCTCCTACTATACAGGAACTAGGACAGGTCACATATCATCCATACAACAAGGGGACCACTACCTCCCACCATACAAGGACAATCGGAACAGGATGTGTCATCAAAATCATTAATACAGCCACTAGCTCCTACTGTTCAAGTACATGTGGCCTATATGACTCACTTAACAAAGAGGCCATCACACTCAACTATACAAACAAAAAAAGAGGGACAGAGCATGCGACCTATATAACCACTCAACAAGGAGGCCATCAAGTTCTACTATACAAGGATGAGAGGGACAGGTCGTCTGACCTATATGAACCACTCAACAAGGAGGATATCATGTTCTACAAAGGAGGAGGGACAGGTCATGTTCTGACCTATACTAACCACTCACAAGCATGTTCTAGCATGAGAGGAACAGAACACATGACCTATATGACCCACTCAACAAGGAGGCCCTCACACTCTACTATACAAACAACATGAGGGACAGGGCATGTGACCTATATAACCCACTCAACAAGGAGGCCATCACATTCTACTATACAAGGATGAGAGAGCCAGGTCATCTGACCTATATGATCCGCTTAACAAGGAGGCCATCGTGTTCTACTATACAAGAATGAGAGGGACAGGGCATGTGACCTATATGAACCACTCAACAAGCAGGCCATCACATTCTACTCTACAAGAATGAGAGGGACAGGGTATGTGACCTATATGACCCACTCAACAAGCAGGCCATCATGTTGTACTATACAAGGATGAGAGGGGCAAGGCATGTGACCTATATGACCCACTCAACACGGGGGCCATCACATTCTACTATACAAGGATGAGAGAGACAGAGCATGTGACCTATATGATTCGCTTAACAAGGAGCCATTGTGTTCTACTATACAAGAATAAGAGGGACAGGGTACGTGACCTATATGAACCACTCAACAAATAAGCCACCATGTTTTACTATACAAGAATTAGAGGGACAGAATATGTGACCTATAATAACCACTCAACAAGGAGGCTATCGCACTCTACTATACAAGGATGAGAGGGACAGGGCAGTGACTTATATGACCCACCCAACAAGGAGGCCATCACGTTCTACTATACAAGGATGAAGGGACAGGTCGTCTGACCTATATGACCCACCCAAAAAGAAGGGTCATCACGTTCTACTATACAAGGATGAGAGGGACAGGGTATGCAACCTATATGACCCACTCAACAAGCAGGTCATCACATTCCACCTTGCACTATATCAGGATGGGAGGGACAGAACACGTGACCTATATTAACCATTCAAAACCACCACAGCAAGAAAACCTCCACCTTCTATTGTACAAGGATGAGAGGGACAGGAAGCCAGCTCTACAGGGCCTTGTGGCAGTATAGTCAACATCATTGTCATCACTTGAGGGAAAAAAAAATAATCACACACAACATTCACAGGATGTTATGTCGATATTACATCCTCCTTTCAAACAACAAGAAATTAAATAGGAACAATTGCCAAGAACTGAGACCAAAAGTGGAACTGAAGATATTTTACAAAACATTACAAGCAGGCTATCACACAAGAGGCAGATGTCTGTTCTGTAATAAAAAAAAAAAAAAAAAAAAAAAAAAAAAAAAACAAAAAACACAAAAACACACCTACCTGCCTGTTCAGTCTTCTGCCGCATGCAAACTGAGCTGCGCATGCACAGCTCAGCTTACATCACCGGTACGTTCCCCATGTCTGGGATGGCCGACTCCTGCGCATGCACAGCTCAGCTTACATCACCGGTACGCTCCCCATGTCTGGGATGGCCGACTCCTACGCATGCACAGCTCAGCTTACATCACCGGTACGTTCCCCATGTCTGGGATGGCCGACTCCTGCACATGCACAGAAGTTACATCATCCCACACTGGCCAATGAAGATGCCTGAAGACCGACACCTGGAGAGAAGATGCCGGTGAGGGACACCTTGTGGATTTTGGACCATTAGAGATGAGATAAGTATAGTACGGTTGATTTACTAAAAGGAAATAAACTGTGCACTTTGGGAAGTGCAGTTGTACTCTGCAAGAGCAGTTTGCTACAAGGCTTAATAAATGAGCATAAGCTCTGTTAACCTCCATCATCCAATCATGTGCAAGCAAAAATACTATTTTTAAAACATTTTCCCTACATGCAATTCTGTATTCTCTGGTAAGTGAAGCTTCGCCTCATTTACTAAGCTCTGGCCAACTGCACAGTCTAACTGCCTTTAGTTAATCAACCCAGTGTCTTCAGTTCCACTTTAAAAGCTCTGCTTCACACTGAATGCGACTTTGAAATCACACTACATTTGAAGTAGAGCGATTTCAAAGCTGCAGATCAGTGCGATTTGTAAATTATTTCACTGCGGCTTGCGACTTCACTTAACAAAAGTCAATGCAAGTCGCAATAAAATCGAAAAAAATGTAGTGCAGAAACTATTTTTGAAATTACGCTACTGCTAAGTGCAATGATTAATACAGCGCCACAGAAATACATTAGATTTATATAGTTACTTCAGGTATTTACATAGCGTCATCAATTTACACAGCGCTGTACACACACACACACACACACACACATACATATATATATATATATACACACACACATACACATACATACACACACCGTATTTCACGTTCCATAAGAAGCACCTGACCATAAGACGCACCTAGGTTTTAGAGGCGGGGAAAACAAGAAAAAAAAAATATTCTGCACCAATGGACTGCGGACACAGTACAGCAGATGACCAGAGACTGCGGACACAGTACAGGAGATGACCAGAGACTGCGGACACAGTACAGGAGACGACCAGAGACTGCGGACACAGTACAGGGGATGACCAGAGACTGCGGACACAGTACAGGGGATGACCAGAGACTGCGGACACAGTACAGGGGATGACCAGAGACTGCGGACACAGTACAGGGATGACCAGAGACTGCGGACACAGTACAGGGGATGACCAGAGACTGCGGACACAGTACAGGGGATGACCAGAGACTGCGGACACAGTACAGGGGATGACCAGAGACTGCGGACACAGTACAGGGGATGACCAGAGACTGCGGACACAGTACAGGGGATGACCAGAGACTGCGGACACAGTACAGGGGATGACCAGAGACTGCGGACACAGTACAGGGGATGACCAGAGACTGCGGACACAGTACAGGGATGACCAGAGACTGCGGACACAGTACAGGGGATGACGAGAGACTGCGGACACAGTACAGGGGATGACCAGAGACCTGCGGACACAGTAGAGGGGATGACCAGAGCCTGCGGACACAGTAGAGGGGATGACCAGAGACTGCGGACACAGTACAGGGGATGACCAGAGACTGCGGACACAGTACAGGGGATGACAAGAGACTGCGGACACAGTACAGGGGATGACCAGAGACTGCGGACACAGTACAGGGGATGACCAGAGACTGCGGACACAGTACAGGGGATGACCAGAGACTGCGGACACAGTACAGGGGATGACCAGAGACTGCGGACACAGTACAGGGGATGACCAGAGACTGCGGACACAGTACAGGGGATGACCAGAGACTGCGGACACAGTACAGGGGATGACCAGAGACTGCGGACACAGTACAGGGGATGACCAGAGACTGCGGACACAGTACAGGGGATGACCAGAGACTGCGGACACAGTACAGGGGATGACCAGAGACTGCGGACACAGTACAGGGGATGACCAGAGACTGCGGACACAGTACAGGGGATGACCAGAGACTGCGGACACAGTACAGGGGATGACCAGAGACTGCGGACACAGTACAGGGGATGACCAGAGACTGCGGACACAGTACAGGGATGACCAGAGACTGCGGACACAGTACAGGGAATGACCAGAGACTGCGGACACAGTACAGGAGGATAACCAGAGCCTGCGGACACAGTAGAGGGGATGACCAGAGACTGCGGACACAGTAGAGGGGATGACCAGAGCTGCGGACACAGTAGAGGGGATGACCAGAGACTGCGGACACAGTAGAGGGGATGACCAGAGACTGCGGACACAGTAGAGGGGATGACCAGAGACTGCGGACACAGTACAGGGATGACCAGAGACTGCGGACACAGTACAGGGGATGACCAGAGACTGCGGACACAGTACAGGGGATGACCAGAGACTGCGGACACAGTACAGGGGATGACCAGAGACTGCGCACACAGTACAGGGGATGACCAGAGACTGCACACACACACAGTACAGGAGATGACCAGAGACTGCGGACACAGTACAAGGGATGACCAGAGACTGCAGGACACAGTACAGGGAATGACCAGAGACTGCGGACACAGTACAGGGAATGACCAGAGACTGCGGACACAGTACAGGGGATGACCAGAAGACTGCGGACACAGTACAGGGGATGACCAGAGACTGCGGACACAGTACAGGGGGATGACCAGAGACTGCGGACACAGTACAGGGGATGACCAGAGACTGCGGACACAGTACAGGAGATGACCAGAGACTGCGGACACAGTACAGGGGATGACCAGAGACTGCGGACACAGTACAGGAGATGACCAGAGACTGCGGACACAGTACAGGGGATGACCAGAGACTGCGGACACAGTACAGGGATGACCAGAGACTGCGGACACAGTAGAGGGGATGACCAGAGACTGCGGACACAGTACAGGGGATGACCAGAGACTGCGGACACAGTACAGGGGATGACCAGAGACTGCGGACACAGTACAGGGGATGACCAGAGACTGCGGACACAGTAGAGGGGATGACCAGAGACTGCGGGACACAGTAGAGGGGATGACCAGAGACTGCGGACACAGTAGAGGGGATGACCAGAGACTGCGGACACAGTAGAGGGGATGACCAGAGACTGCGGACACAGTACAGGGGATGACCAGAGACTGCGGACACAGTACAGGGGATGACCAGAGACTGCGGACACAGTACAGGGGATGACCAGAGACTGCGCACACAGTACAGGAGATGACCAGAGACTGCGGACACAGTACAAGAGATGACCAGAGACTGCGGACACAGTACAGGGAATGACCAGAGACTGCGGACACAGTACAGGGAATGACCAGAGACTGCGGACATAGTACAGGGAATGACCAGAGACTGCGGACATAGTACAGGGAAAATACCAGGGACATAGTACAGATGACCAGAGACTGCGGACCTTTGGGGAGGGAGGGGGAGAGCGGGTACCTGAATTTGACAGGTACCCGCTCCCACTTCCGGAGTTGTGCTTCCCTCTTCTTCCCGCGCCGGCTTCTGTGACAGCTGGGTGCCCACTGCGCATGCGCGAGAGAAGCACTGCGCTTTGTGAATGGCTCGGCGCCTTCTGGGACCTGTCATGTGTCCCAGAAGACACCGGACCATTCACAAAGCGCAGCGCTTCTCGCGCATGCGCAATAGGCACTCGGCTGTCACAGAAGCCGCTGCGGGAAGACTGCAGCGCTGGAGTGAGGAACAGGTAAGGCCCTGCAGGAGAGAAGAGCTGAGCAGCCGGCCCAATATTCTGACATGGTGGCGGCAGAAATACCGGACCGGCCCCTTTATATTCGCTCCATAAGACGCACTGATATTTATCCCCCTTTTTTTTGGGGGAAAAAAGTGCGTCTTATGGAGCGCAAAATACTGTATAATATATATATATATATATATATATATATATATATATATATATAATAGTACATTCACATCAGTCCCAGTCACATTCATACATTCACATACTAGGGCCAATTTAGACAGGATCCAATTAACCTACCAGCATGTCTTTGGAGTGTGGTGGAGGGAACTGGAGTACCCGGAGGAAACCCACGCAGGCACAGGGAGAACATGCAAATTGCAGGCAGCAGGTGCCATGGTTGGGATTCAAACCAATGAACCATGTATTGCCAGGTGGAAGTGCTAACCACTTAGACTTCAGGTGCGATTTGTAAATCACATGTCGCACCGGTGTGAGCCAGGACTAAAGTGGGCTTGTGTTTCCCTTTAAGTTAAATAAAGTGTACATCTAGGAAAAAAAATGAAAATGAAATAATTTTCCATAATGCCTGTTCATTTGTTCAGGTTTTGTCTCTTTACAGATGCTATAAGGACACAAATCTGTTGATTGCAAAGCAATCCAGCAAGTGGACAATGCTGCACTGAATTCCCCATGAGGCCTACCCCATTCTCCTGGACTGCAGAACACATCCCCTTGTATTATGAAACTGAGGAGATAGGGATGGGGTGCTGTAGTCCAGAGGAGAAAAACTCAGGCAGGGCTGACGACAGTGCTTGGGATTTCAATACAAGAGAGGCAGTGTTGTCGGCATTAGATACAATTTAAAGTCCACCTCCTGCAAATGCTGCAAAGGTTAACCGTTTGTTTTTTCCTGTCCCCTTAGACAGAAACACTTACTTACCTGATCCTCCACTCTCTCCGGCAAACAGCGCTCCCCTACTCTCCGGCAGTGGACTTCCCCCAACATTCTTACATCCAATGCAGAGTCAGGCAAGTAAAATGGCTTTACCAGTCCCCTAGACCAGGGGTCTCCAAACTGCGGCCCGAGGAACCAATGATGGCGCACTATTCCTCCCACTGGGGACCAACAATGGGGCAATACTTCTTCCAATGAAACCAATGATGGGGCACTATTCCTCCCACTGATACCAATGATGGGGCACTATTCCTCCCACTGGGACCAACAATGGGGAAATACTTCTTCCAATGAAACCAATGATGGGGCACTATTCCTCTCACTGAGACCAACAATGGGGCAATACTTCCAATGAAACCAATGATGGGGCACTGTTCCTCCACTGGAACCAACAATGGGGCAATACTTCTTCCAATGGAAACAATGATGGGGCACTATTCCTCCCGCTGAAACCAACAATGGGGGCAATACTTATTCCAATGAAACCAATGACGGGGCACTATTCCTCCCACTGGGACCAACAATGGGGCAATACTTATTCCAATGGAACCAATGATGGAACACTGTTCTTCCCACTAATACCAATGATGGGGCACTATTCCTCCCACTAATACCAATGATGGGGCACTATTCCTCCCACTGATACCAATGATGGGGCACTATCCTCCCACTGATACCAATGATGGGGCAATATTCTTCCCACTAATACCCATGATGGGGCAATATTCTTCCCACTAATACCACATGATGGGGCAATATTCTTCCCACTAATACCCATGATGGGGCACTATTCCTCCCACTGATACCAATGATGGGGCACTATTCTTCCCACTAATACCCATGATGGGGCAATATTTTTCCCACTGATACCAATGATGGGACACTATTCCTCCCACTGATCCAATGATGGGACACTATTCCTCCCACTGACACCAATGATGGGACACTATTCCTCCCACTAATACCAATGATGGGGCACTATTCCTCCCACTAATACCAATGATGGGGCACTATTCCTCCCACTGACACCAATGATGGGACACTATTCCTCCCACTGATACCAATGATGGGACACTATTCCTCCACTGATACCAATGATGGGGCACTATTCCTTCCACTGATACCAATGATGGGGCAATATTCTTCCCACTAATACCAATGATGGGGCAATATTCTTCCCACACTAATACCAATGATGGGCACTATTCCTCCCACTAATACCAATGATGGGGCACTATTCCTTCCACTGATACCAATGATGGGCACTATTCCTCCCACTGATACCAATGATGGGGCACTATTCCTCCCACTAATACCAATGATGGGGCACTATTCCTCCCACTAATACCAATGATGGGCACTATTCCTCCTACTGACCATCAACCCTGCAGCCATGTTTATTCTCACTGATGCTGGGGCAAGGACATTTTCCATCCTCGCTGGCCCTAAACCGGCCCTCCTAAAGTCTAAAGGACAGTATACTGACCCTTTGTTTGAAACATTTGGAGACCCCCTGCCCTATATACAAGCAAGCCCCCTACCTCTTTCCCCAGTAATCAGATTCTACATTGTACTTTGTAGCAGGTGACAAGGTAAGAGGCAGCAGCAGAGACTGATCTGTGTCAGACATTTGTGAACACAGCCAAAAACTAAACAGACACCTTTTCTTACAAGACTGTTTCATCTATGGGTCAGCATCTAGACAGTGACCCCCAGATGATGCCTAAACAAAGATGGCTCTGTCCTTCAGGGGACAAAAGAAGAGGAAGTAATTGCTAGGGGGGAGTACAGTGAGAGGTAATAAATACCTGGGAGTGCTACACTAACATAATACTTAGCATGTACTTATAATGAATGGGTTCACTTTAAAAGAAGGCAAAGTCAGATTATCCTGGACCTGCCATCACAATAATATTAGCTGCACACGACAGTCTCTTTCTGGTCCGGTGAATTCAATGTACAATGAACGGACAGAATAAAGAAAACAATATACGAGGTAGAGCGATTCTTACCCAGAATTCATCTGTTTCCATCACAGACAAGTGTGAACAAGCCGAGCCCGGCCAATCCTGCGAGGAAACATCAACTTGATGACCATAATCCTCAAACAATGGTACAGCGAGCCATCCGCTCTTACTGTAACTGATTATGACACCCGGAGGAATCGGCCCTTTAAATACAACGTACAGCTGCTGCATCTGTTGCAGTGATATAGAAGCATGTAGAGCTCCGGGCCGGATGTGAACTTCCCATATCCATGGCATACGATGAGGACACACCATGGCTAATTATAGACAACAGTAAGAACAGGATTTGTAAAACTCAGGATGTATCTGCTTCTATTGGACAGTCGGATATCCTGGCCTACCGCCATGCTGGAAGTAACTGCTCACCCTACAATAAACACCTGATGAGCAAATCTGTATGCAACTCAAGAGCCGTGTGCATTCTTCCTTGGATCTTGGTGTGCTTTGTGTATTTCTTCCAGATATATGCAGTAATCCGGTGTGAGACTTTCCCTCTGTGCAGAAACTTCCTGTAAAAAAAAAAAAAAAAAAAAAAAAAAAAAAAAAAAAAAGACTGCTCCCTGCTGCTCTCTCTCCCTTGTGCAGGGTGACTGGTCTTGTCTCCGCCCCCTCCTGTAGTTTTCTATAGGGCAGCCTGTAGTGGACGGAGCCTACCGTGCCCCTCCCACAGCTCTGCTCTCTGCACAGGCTATATACAAGCACAGTCACTGCTACTTTTGAAAAGATAATTCCAGGGATTGCAAAGGCATTTGGAGTTTACAAAATGTATTTATATCTTTCATAGCTGTTGAGAAATATATTTAAAAGGTAACTCCACTTTTGTGGGGGGGGGGAATTAGAATGTGTGTGCGTATAAAAAAAAAAAATATAAAAAAAATATATATTGGGCAGCACAGTGGTGAAATGGTTAGCACTTCTGCCTGGCAGTACTCGGGGTCGTTGGTTCAAATCCCAACCACAGCACCACCTGCCTGGAATTTGCATGTTCTTCCTGTGCCTGTGTGGGTTTCATCCGGGTATTCCGATGTGAATGTACCATATATATGTAAAGCTCTGTACTTGAAATAATATATATCATATATATATATATACATACACACATATACATACACACATACCCGCACACGAGTGTGGCATTTTTTGAAAAAAAACTACTTGTCCAAGGACTAAATTGGTGCTCCAATCTACTTGTCCAGATAGAAAAAGAAAAAATACTTTTTTTTTTTTTTAACCAAAACCATATATATATATATATATATATATATATATATATATATATATATATATATATATATAATAAATAAATAAAAAAGGGGGGGGGCTTTACGGCGACCTAAACATGTAATACTTTTAACACTGTGCTATTTATCGCCTCTCTCCAGCACCACCTCCGGGGAATAGCAGGGAGGGGAGAGGTCTTGAGGTGTAATGAGCACTGATTGGCTGCTCATTAGGAAAGGGGAGTGTCCGGCTTATCCTTTATCGCGTTCGCTGCCAGAGCTGTTTTTGCGTTTTTTTTTCACAAGTTTAAAAAATAAGTTTAGGCCTGAAGATTACATAAAGCCCCCAAACATTATATATTTTCTGAAAGCAGAGACCCTAGAGAATAAAATAGTGGTAGTTCCAAGTTTTTATGTTGCATGATATTACCGCACAATTTCAGTAAAAAACACAAGTAAGTTAATTTTAGGGCTAAAAAAAAAAAAAAAGCAATAAATTACCCTTTTTTTTTGTAAAATATAATAGATTAGGTTGCACCGAGGAAATAGATATCCAACATGTCAAACCTTAAAATTTGTGCACGCTCGTGAAATGGCGGCGAACATCAGTACCCTATATTTTCTATAGGTGACACTTTTAAAGCCCCCTATAGGTCATCAGCTTAGCATTACA